CAGGCTAGGTATTAGTACAAAAATATCAAACAAAATTTAAGATTTACATGTACATGTACATGTACATGTATAATACATTTCACTTATTATAAAATACATGTACTAAATGTAATCTCAATATTAGTACATGTACTACAGCAAAGATGTATACATAAATGTAAATGTACAGTAATGAATGGGAACATTATCAATTACATGTACATGTACAATGGTGACTACATGTACTATACCATATAGTGGGTACATATTCCGTCAGAGTTTAATTTCGCTCTTTTCGTTCTCATTCCTTGTGGAACGAATATTTTCCAAACAAAAAAGGTGTTTCCTCAATGCCATGTGTACAAAATGGCTGCTCAGAACGAAAATAAAACAAACAAAAATTTCTAATCCTGCTTAGAACGAACATTTTTCCAGACAAAATATACCCGCTATACAGTATTCTATGTCGTCTAGTGTTAACACAGTATAGTGGGTTTTTTTCGATAATGACAAATGTAAAATTTCGTGGATTTTTTAAGATTCACAAAATTAAATTCCTTGAGAATCAATTAAATACAGTAAAAGATGGAAGAATAGTAACAAAAATTCGTGAAAATTATTTCTGTAAACCTCTGGATATAGGTCATTTGCGAAAATTATTATCCTCGAAAAAACCCACTATACAGTAATAATTATTAATTACATGTATGTACATAATTATTAATTATGTACCCTACCAGTGATCAGAAGGATAGTTCAGTAATATCCCGTCCTGTACTAGGGTATTGGAACCACCCCCGTCTAGATTAATAGCATTGACCACACCTCTTTTAATTAATACATCAGCAAACTCGTAAAGATTCGCACTAAAAATGTAAATAAATAAATAAATAAAATAATTAATATTTTCTCAATAATAAATTGTACTATTGGCCACTAGTTGGTCCAATTACTATTAACACTAAATGCACTGCCAATGGATACACTAATATAATCAATAGTTCACTACAAGTTCTATTGGTAATACCAAATGCACTCTAGGCAATACAGTATTAACACAGTATTAATGTATTTATGATCAATGATCAGTGCTTAGCTAATCCAGTTATAATGCAATCCTAACACAAAATTAACACAGTTTTAAGTAAGCCCTTTAGTATAGTGTAAATGTACATCTACATACAAAATCTTAACACAATCTTAACACAGTACTTATACACATACAAGTACAATATTAACACAGTCTTAACACGGTATTAACTCACCCTCTAACATGAGTCTGTCCCTCAACACGTGCTAGTACGACTCTTCCTTTATCATCGTGACCAATAGCTGATCTTGCTGATATCACATTAACAAAAGTATCCATTGGTCCTGTGTCTTCATGATCTGAACACTCCATTATCTTGCTTTCGTTAACATAATTAGTGCCATTTCTTACTAGCCATATAACACCTGCAACAATAAATAAATAATAATAATAATAATAATAAATAAATAAATAAATAAATAAATAATAATCATAATGATATTAAATAATAAAGAATATAATGATAATGATAATAATAAATGATAAATATTGATATTAGTAATATGGATACTGATACTTAAATAATCAACAATTACAATATTAATAATTAATAAGATAAGACAAGATAAAGTTTATCCTCTTTCATGTTGTCCTCTCTTAATCACTCAACGTCTCTCTCTCCCTCCCTCTCTCTCTCTCTCTCCCTCCCTCTCTCTCTCTCTCTCCCTCCCTCACCTGTAACCAGTTGTCTAAACGGGTTAGTCTGGTTATGCAGCTCCTCCTCCGGTATATACCCGACTACAATACTCCCGTCCTCCTTTATACCAAAATTAGCATTTTGAACTCCGTTAGCCGATTTAACCAGTCGACCATCAGACACTATATTACCCAGACAGTTACCGTTAGACACGGTAAAATACCCGCCATTTGCCGCCAAACGGCAGCCATGTTCATAATTAGCAGCCGTATCAAGGACGGTTGCTTTGGTAGTATAATACGAGTTCTGATGACAAGTTCCTTTTCTTGAAGGCTCCAAAACTGATAGCGTATAATAAGGATCTTCAATAAAAGTAATAGTACCGACTGCATAGCGTTTTCGTAATGGAGTTCTAGCCACAACGTCTGCATATTTATGCATTTTAAATTTAAGTTTTCCGTCACCACTCGGAGGAGTCGTTAAAACCTTGAAAGTCTCTACTGTTCGATTTTCCCATCTCGTGTGCTGACAGGAGCTTATTTCGCGTGTTGTTCTAGTACCACCATGTCTCCCCTCCGGGTAGGGGGTCAGTATATCCCCGGGAAATGGGTCGAATTGATTGTTAGAATGATCCAGCGAGTTAGCGACGGTTAGGGAAAGGATTGCTAAAGGTAGGAGCGAGTATTGAAGAGGCCAGCGCCTTCTTCTCCTCGAGTAAGGAAGAATATGGCGTAGGAGAGAGGCTGACATTGCTCTCTCTTCTTCTTTAGGAAGAGCAAAATGCCAACTCTCTGTGACAATGCAAAAGAGCAAATCTTGCAGTGTAGGTGTGGTATGGGCGGGTCTAACAACTTGACCACGCCTTAATTAATTGCTGGTTTAGCATTATAATAAATTTGTGCAAAAAAACTTTGCTTTTAAAATAAATAAATAAATAATAGTACATTTATAAATACTGTGAAAATAATATAAGCTACTAATTTCTGAAACTTCTATGCTAAGTTACTAATATAGTACTGCTGCTATATTGAAGATTATTAATACACTAGACTACTACTATAGTGAGCCTATTCTAATGCTTTATCTTCAGTTAATTTCAGCTCATAGCCATTTTTGTTTATCACACTTCTTACCGGCCCATCCCTGGAGAGAGGGAGGGAGGGAGAGAAAGGGAAAGAGAGAGAGAGGGAGGGAGGGAGGAAGAGAGAAAGAAAGAGAGAGAGGATAATAACAATAGACAAGAGAGAGAGATTAACAATGAAGGTAATTCATAATAATAGTCACTGAAACTTGGCAGCGAAAATAATGATAGTACCAAAGAATATCATCATTACTACACATTACAATTCACTGGTACTATTACTTAATATTACTATTACAATTATATGCTACTACAATACATGTACTACATAATATTGACATGTAAATCTGCAATTATTATTATTATCATTGTTGTTGTTGTTGTTATTATTATTTTTTTTTCCTACCTCATCACAAGTGCAGAATCCATCAATACGAGAGCAGGTACCATGAACACAAGAACACCTAAACACATTATACACATACACCAGTAGAGCATGATCAGAATAATAATAGCATGACATATGTACATTATAATGACAGTATTTATACATATGAAATGTAAACAATATCTTCAATAATATTTATACTTACTTCTGAGCACAGTTAACACCATAATGTTTACCATCACAGACTATAATAAAATTAATATTATAATTTAATTCATTTTATTTTGTTGTACTTTTGTTGCACTTTTCTCCAGCAAAGCCTGGATAGCACACACATTGGCCAGTGACGTGATGACAGAAACTTTTATTGAGGACACAATAATTACAAACTGACTTGCAACCTAAACCATATCTGTTACGTGAGCAAGCTAAGAGAGAGAGAGAGGAGAAGTGCCATGAAATTTTAGTAAAATATGTCTTTTACGTTGTTCACAAAGTTTTCCGTACCAACCTGCTTCACAGGTACATTTACCTACAGAAAAAAAAGAGAGAGAGAGACAAAAAAGAGAGAAATCACTCTATCACAGTATAACACTTAACTTTCAAGGCATACGTGTACATGTAAAACTTAAAATTTTCCAATTTTTGTGGATTTTTACAAAAGCTTTGCTCCATTAAATAAAGTTTTATATTGCAGTATCTGCTACTTTCTTACCATTAGTACACACTCCATGTCCAGTGCAATCAGTTTTAGTACAGTTTATAAATTCACACTTCTTCCCATACCATGGATCATTACAATTACAGTCACCATGAGAACACTCCTCAACATCATGAACACACAGTACAGTGGAGACATTCCTTGGGCATTGGAACAATGGATCAACACCATCAATATGACTAAAATAATAATAAAATTATAATAATATCAAAATCAAGAATTAAAGCAGATTACTACATTACAAGATGAATTATTGAGGCATTAATACTTGGCAGTTACTAGTATAAAACCTTCCATTTGTTTTAATCTCATAATACATAATTGGTCAATATAAAATTAACTAATATTAATACGTAACCTCCCATAAATGCAACATCTTTTACAGCATATTATTTTATTAATAGGTTAATAACTACCAGTAGTCCCCAGGGTAATTGAGTATAGTGTCCCCTTCCATTAGTAGACTGGACCCACCTCCATCAAGATTAACAGCATTAACAACACCTCTCTTGATTAGCATGTCAGCAAACTGGAACAGATTGACTCTAAAATAAAAAATACAATAAAATAAAAATAATAAATAAAAGTATATACATTATACAACATATAAAGAACTATTTAGTGAACATTATAAATGCATTAAAAGTAAGCGTCTATTTGGCTTTGAATAAAGTGTAATATCCTTCAATAGTACACACACAATAATAATGGACAATAGTCCAATTGTATTGTAGTGATAGTTTCAGTGAATTTAATAAAGACACTGTAGGATCATATCAGCTTCCAAATGAAGCAATAGACATGAAGTGACATAATAACAAATAAAATGTAAAGTAATTGTACAATAAAACATAAGGGCATCAATGTATCCAAAAATGTAATAAAAATTTGGGATGATTTCGGAGCCATTTTTTGAAAAAACCATGGGCTATAGTACAGGGATTTTTTCAGAAATTGGCCGATTTCGTAACTTCAAAAATTTAAGTCAGAATCAACTCAAACTTGCTACACAGCATAAGTACATCAATATGTATCAGAAAATGTAATAAAAATTTGGGGTGATTCCGGAGCCATTTTTTGGAAAAAACCATGGGCTATATAGTACAGGGATTTTTTCAGAAATTGGCTGATTTCTTAAAATGGCCGTAACTTCAAAAATTTAAGTCGGAATCATTTCAAACTTTCTACACAGCATAAAGGTATCAATATGTATCAGAAAATGTAAAAAAAATTTGGGGTAATTTTGGAGCCATTTTTTGGGAAAAACCATGGGCTATATAGTACAGGGATTTTTTCAGAAATTGGCTGATTTCTTAAAATGGCCGTAACTTCAAAAATTTAAGTCGGAATCATTTCAAACTTTCTACACAGCATAAAGGTATCAATATGTATCAGAAAATGTAAAAAAAATTTGGGGTAATTTTGGAGCCATTTTTTGGGAAAAACCATGGGCTATATAGTACAGGGATTTTTTCAGAAATTGGCTGATTTCTTAAAATGGCCGTAACTTCAAAAATTTAAGTCGGAATCATTTCAAACTTTCTACACAGCATAAGGACAGCAATATGTATCAAAAAATGCAATAAAAATTTGGGTGATTTTAGAGTTATTTTTTGGAAAAACCATGGGCTATAGTACAGGGATTTTTTCAGAAATTGGCTGATTTAAAAAAATGGCCATAACTTGAAAAATTGAAGTCAGAATCATTTCAAACTATCTACCCATCATAAGTACATCAGTACATTATTATTATCCTCTTACCCTCTCACTAGTGACTTCCCTTCAACACGAGCCAGTACTACTCTCCT